CTGGCCTCAAGTCTGATTTTCCTCAATAAAGAGGGGCTTATGTAGAAAACACGCTTAGATATTTTTGACATAATCTAGCAGATAAAAGTATAACTGTCATGTTTTGGATTTGAACCAGTTTTTTGGAATCATATGTACTTGTTTATCTCTTCTGAATAAATGTAATCAAGTCCAGCGCTTAAAAGGCTGCTCTCCCTCATAAAAACAGAGACAAGCATGACAAGCTGACACTGTTCAGCCTAAAAGTCCAAAATTTTGGATTACCATCTTCATCTCCACATCATGACACCGTTATGCTAAATTCTCATGATTCTAATATCATGTAAACATGTTTCTGTTATCGCTACACGTTATTCCACGACATATGAACACACACTTATCTTACTCTCCAGTCCCTGCCACGCTCACATCCACTCGTCAGCGCTGTGACAGTCGGGGAGTCATGACAGTATGATGCGCAGATGCACAGACACATCTTCAAAGAGGGAAAATCCCTCCATTTCCAGAAACTCCCAGTAATCCCAGCAGCCCTTTGCTCGTGGGATCAGGGGTCTTTTTTAAGAGCTGTGAATTGGTGCCGGGGTCAGGGACATTCCCGACAGCGGAGAGAGCAACATGACACTGAGTCATTGTTGGGGCCTTATGGAAGCCATCATATGTGATCTATTGAACTTATTGACCGCCGGATGTGGAATATAGCGCCTTCGTAAACAAGATTTCAGCACAAGGTTAGTTAAAAACTTTCAGCTTTGTTTAAAAGCTGCTAACAGCCATTTTGGACCAGTGAAGCTACTTAAATGCACAGCCTCCTCTGTTTAAAGGTGATAATCTGTTTTTATTGATCTTTGTGGTTGTTATAAACTTGGAGGTGTAAAATAAAAGAAATTCACTTCTGCCAGTCCTTGAACTGATTGCAGACATTGTTTTCTTCCTGAAGGAGGCGGGAACAGCAGCAGCTCATTGGTGTTCAGAGCAAAACAGCCAGTTCGGAGCAGGGCTAACACCTAGGAGTCATGGTGAAATAAACCATCTTTGCAGCATTTTGAGCTGAAAAACCAGAACAATACACTGTGGGGGCATATGAGAGTTTAATTAGTTTGCTAAAAAGAAGCAAAATATAGGATTTTAAAGCTTAAAAGCAGAGCGTACACCCTGAAGCATTGTGTGCATCTGTACTTGTACATAATCTCCTTTGTTTACTTTAAACTACGGCAACTCAAACAGTGAATCATTTTGTGAGTGGGACCTAATAACACAGACAAGAGAGAAGATGTCAGAAATGACAGCGTCTATAGACGGATTGGCAGAGCTGTGAAAATGGGCTACGATGCATCATAAGCAAGCCACATCCAGTTACAGCCTGCTACATGCTGTATATCGTTTCACAGAAGCACAAATCAATATGCTGTGTTTACACGGCATATTACTACCAAGCGGACCGACCGCAGTTGTTGTGATCGGCATCGCTGGTGACACGCGGCGTAGAATCAATGCAGAGATATAAACCAAGCTTTAGAACAGAGCAGCAGGACAATGATGGGCTACAGCTGATGCCCTGTACACATATAGATGTAAAGATGCTCTAATAATAAAGACACTCTAACATCATCGTCACTGTTTCATTTGTTTTCTATTTGTTGTTTTTTTCTGTTTTTACGTATAAGCTTACATTAGGTTTTGTGTGTTCTTGTTTCATTTGTAAAGACCAACTTCTAAATATCATGTTGTTTCTCATTTTCCCATCGTGTTGACTCCAGGAAAACAGATGAACATGTAGATGCGGAGCTATAGAGCGGTCCACAGTAGTCCATTCCCTCTCATGCTGCACCCACACACAGTTGGCTCGGCCTGACATTTAATCGAGTCTCTGTAAACAAGCATCCATCCTTAGTCGATTCGCCAGCCTGGACCCATGTGCACGATCACATAATAACGTCCAATTTAAGCCTTCAAAAATGACACACAGTCAGTTCTTCAAAGCCTGTAACAAGCATCGATGAGTCACTCATTCAGACAGCTGCATCTTTTTTCTTTCTTTCTCACACAAACACACAAATCTGCTTCACATCCAGCATCCCCGCTGCCTCGGCTTGCTGAGTCACCGGGCTGCTGTGCGATGCCTGCAGAAGGGCATGACGCACACAGGCCGACCCCGCAGCGCTCCGTTGGCCCGGTCAGGTGGAGGGCGGCCAGGGCATCACACTGAGACGGTGCCCTTGTGTTGAAGGGGACTTTCTAAAGATCAGAAAGTGCAGGTGTGGTAGTTTAGCAAAAGTCGTGACACAGAGAGTCGTGACGGAGCTGATCACAAAGCAGGAGGAGCTGATGTGCTTTCTTTTAACTTCCAGTCTTTCTCAAGCTGTCACATGTAGCTGCAGCGCCCACTTTGTCTTATTTTGCTCTTTTATCTCTGTTGTTGTTTGCATCGACTGGTGCACCCACTTATGTCGCTGCTGCTGAGTGAAAAGTGTTCAGAAGTTATGAAAAACTGCTTCAGTGCTTTGGTTAGTATTGATAGATTTTTCATTTATCCTTTCAATCAGTAACTTCTTGCATTTTTTTCCTCACAAAAATGGTAGAATGCTTGCCAAATCTCAAAACAACAGTTTCCCATGTAAAGATAGTGACATGCAGACAAACATAGAGCTCAGTTTCCCTGAACCAGTGTGAGAATCCCACCATGGCTCTTGGGGAAGCTCACTTTTTTCACTTTTGTGTGGTCAGAAACATCAGATGCAACATGTATTAAGCCCTTTATTACGCTTTAATTAATCATTATTCCAATTAATGAGCATTAATGATGAAAAGTAACTTCCTGTTTTCAGCACCGCAGAGCTTTAGGTTTCCTCTTCTGCTTTGTTTAATGGCAGCTGGTGTCAAAAAAGTTAGTTTGTTTTCTCGTCTCTGAGTTAAAGTGAGTGAACTTTGTGATTCGCTTTGATGGGGACGGCAAGAAGAGCATGCATGTGGGTATCTATTGAAAAGTGAATTAGTGATTAATCACCCTCATGCATGAATCAAACATCAATAATAGCCTAATTTTTTTGTATGATCAATATTTTACAGACCCCCCAAAATTTCATAAAATCATGTTTGCAGGGAGCTCATGTCTTATTAAGAGGAGCTGAGCTCCCCCTGGCCCCCCTGGAGTCACACAGATAAGAGTGAGTGGAACTTTTTTTTTGTTTTATCTCCATCTTATGCAACATTTGTCCTCACAATGCGCCAACTGATTGTTTTATAATCTAGTACCTAAAAGAGGTTTATGGAGCTTGTTGACAACACACATGGATGAACAACGTGGTGGAAAGCACCAGCATCGCATCTCGAGTCAGCTGGATAAACTAAACTAATGAGAGTTTCAATTCAAAAGAACAAAATGTGCCAAAAGTGCATTAAATCTAGAAGCTATGTGTTCAACGCCACAAATAGGACATTCCTAGAAGATTTCTTAAAGTCACTTGAAATTATTACATATTTTGATCAGTTGGATTTTAACCCTCCGAACCCCAAAACATGCCAACAGGTTGAAAAAGCATGCTGTTGTTGTTGTTGTTTGCTGGGCTTAAAATTGTGACGTTTCAAAATTACTTATTTCTACATATCTCATTTAAAAATTCAACAAAAATACACCATGTGCACAAACCAGATTCTATAAAAAAAATAAAATAAAATTTGGCTCCTTTTTTCAACCGTGAAGCCATTAATGACTCAGCTGTGACCAACAGTCATGTGGCAAAAATTGAGGAACTTTTTGGCTGAACTGCAGGCAGTGTTTACACAGAGCAGATCAGGTACAAGTAAGGAAATAAGTAAAACATAAAAAAATCAAAGAAGCTCAATTTCTTTCTTTTTTTTTTAAAACTCAATGAATACATTTGTTAAAAAGCACAAAAGGCGTCTTGAGTTCTCTCTGTTCTATGTGTTGTGCTGTTTCCACTGAGGTGTAGGACTTCATTAAACTGTGAAAAATGAGCCCACAGTGAGTTAAAATGTGTGTGAATGACATTCTAACAGAGAATCTGACATAATCGTACAACAACTCCACGAGCTCATAATTCTGTTAAATATCACAAAAGCAGGAGCCTCTAATTGTTCACGTTACAGCTCAGGTTGGTTCATTTTTAGCTCACTGATGATGCTGATGTGAGTTTTTCTAACCTTTTTGAGCACAATCTAGTGTTTTCGCTGAAGTTCAAGCATAAAAATCACAAACCAGCAGCTACATTTTTCCCATTTTCACATGACGTTAAACCACAAACACCTCAGGTCTGTCCATCGCAGCGCCGGATCTCACATGCACATGACGGCGCAGCAACAATTACGCTGATAACTTTGGGACTATTAGCCTTATTACTTTCAGGGTTCAGTAAGCAACCTTAAAAAGCTCTGTGTTTAACACGCCATTATGGACTAATCTACCAACATGAGCAAGGACTATAAAGAGAACACAGCGGGACCAAAGCTGCAATAAAGGCCTATCTCTCACAAGAAGCTTTCATAGGGAGCCAGGACTTAAACAGCTCTCGTTATAACTCAGGTAATGGCACTGAGAGCCGAGTCTACAAAAAGACTGATAACAGCGCTTTCTTCCAAGCTTTCAAAGGAAATCTACATTTGGAAACACAGAGCCAGCTAAGATGAAGGCCTCGTCCACCGGCCATGTTTAGGACATCCAGGGGTTTATAAGGCTAGAGCTAAATCCCAACAGTAAACTTCCATAAAGTCACAGAGTACCTGCGTCTGCCAGCGGCTTCTATAATAATTCCTTCTCCTGCTCCTGGAGATCTGGTTCTGCCCCTGACGGGTCTATTTCAAGCTGACCTTTCCTCTTGAATCAAGTCCTCTCTTTCTCCCCTCGGCTAAAGTCAAATGCAAACACTTTATTCTGTGCTTTAAATGTCCTGTTTTGTACTTCAGCAACAGGTTGATCAGTAAAGATGCATTCATGACACCTGCAAAATCTAAAACCTCCACCTTTCCCCATTCTGCATTCTTACCAGTTTGAAGTTTTCGCAGGAGTAGCGGCTGTAGCTCCTGACCGGCACCCTGAGGCTGCCGTACCCCGACATGCTGGCTCGCCTCAATACAGACAACTAACAAGGCAAAGCAAACAACCAGAGATCCCAAGTGTCATAAAGGTAAAGTGGTTTGACGACTGTCTCCTTCACATCTCTGCAGCAGCAGCAGCTCTGTCTGGCTCGTTGTCTAAAGGAACATAACTCCTCTTTACATGGTCTCCTCTCTAATCTCTCCTCTTGTCGGACAGCTTCATAGTGAAGCCTCAGACTTTCTGACACGACTTTAACCTCTCGCTCTCTCTCTCTCTCTCTCTCTCTCTCTCTGGGTGTCATTCACTGTCTGAGTCAGTCACCCTGACTCAGTTCCCTCCTCTGCTGCCGGTGGAGACCAGAAACATAAAACCCAGAAATGGAACCTTTTTATTTTTGGGCACTCCATGTAGCTTTGAAATGGATGTTTAAGTAAGTTTTAAACACGCTTTACAATGTGATAGCAGAAAGTGTAGCTGCTCGCTCTTTCTGTTTAGTGAACAGTCACCAAATCCTAAACACAGAAACTGAAAGATCAATTATTTGACTTCTAAGCACACCTCACAGCAGCAGATAGCCAATAGCAATGCTGTCCAGCTACCAAGAAGCACGCCCATTCTAGTCAGTCGACTATTGACAAAGTTTTGTCGAATTTAAAGTCAGATTCTGAGCTGAGTTGGAATGCCTTGATTAGCCTTAAGCTTTTATTAAATCCGGATAATTACATTCTCGTCACCAAATCCCAAGTGAGAAATCCCTGAGCTTAATAATCAGTGCCTCAACTGAAGCTCACATTAACAAACAACAACCAAAGAGCGGTAAGATGATAAATTATCTTCCAAAAGTCAATGAGGAAGTGACTAAGAAGCTTAAACTAGAAGGTGGAAGAGATCAGTGCTGGCCCGCATGTATGGGAATGATATGTGCTGATATCTGGACATTTAATGAATAAGGTGCTCGATTTGGCCAAATGTTAAGGTGCACCTGTAACACACTAGAGAGAAGTTCAAGACCTTTGCTGCAGATTCATTTCTCTGAACTAGGAGGTATCAAAAATGTGCAAAATGACAAAAGCAGTGTGTCTCTTTGAGCAGAAGGTTGCAGACTGTACATTTTGCTGGACTATGCAGATGAATGCTGCCGTCCATACCTTCGAGCCACTTGACGCTATACATCTCAGTTCCTAGATTTATTGCAGGTGACAGTTTCAGAACCCATCACTGTATCCTCTATGAGTGGACATCACTCACCACTTGAAGGGAACAACACCGTCTCGTTCTTATTTACAAGAGTATCCTAAATAAACTACCACGTTATCCATCTTTACTTTTAAGGCTTAGAAATGCAGGTTGCTTGTTCATAAGCTTGGATGTCCTTGCATATCAAATTCATCAAGAGGAAACAGACTTTTCAAAGTTTTCTCATGCACTTAGATCCCCACAGCTCACCGTTGCCCCCTGTGTCTCAGACAGATGGTGTAACAGTAATGAATGTCTTCCCTGAGCTCCTAACGCTGACTGACACGACACTTCAGAGTCCTTCCTGCACACCTGGCGCTGTACATTACAGCGAGCGCCCACACACAAACCAGAACACGGGAGGTCTCAGGTGTCGGGTGGTGGCTCGTACTAGTCTTCCAAGTCATCTTATGTCATCGGGTGATTAAACTTTAACCAGTCGAGTTATGCGCTGACATCAGAGCTCTGTATTCACACTCCGACATAAATTCACACCTTGGAGCCACCCAGAAGAACCAAACACTTTGGAGCAGCTTCACTGAAGAAACTCGAGGACACACATATCTGTGCGTTGGCAATAAAGCAGAATATATACATACGAGCAAGTGTGAAACCCATTGACAAGTCTGCTACACTTTTCTCTGCTGCTCGACACCTGATTTGTGGTGGTGCACCGACTTTGTAAAGGTCTGTAGTCAAGTATGGAGGTGATACAAACAGGCTCAGACAAATGGAGTTTAAATACTGGTTTAAAAAAGAACAAAACCACGCTGCCACACTTTGTAAAACCAGCAGGGAGTAGCGCTGAAAGGGCCTGAAATATTAGCATCATCATCGTCTTTTATGCAGACCTGCTCGCCACCCTCTGTTGCACATGTTGTAAGTTGGGTTTGTATGAATTAAAAAGCACATTTGGGATAAAAAACGTTGACTTCAGGCTCTTTAGCGTGGAAAAACAATGCCAGTTCTTCATGCATCACCTCCCCACTGTGTGATAACATCTCATGGTCAACTCTTAAGCTTGTTAAAGGATTTCTTGACCTTTATTAAACTTGACAAATCCTACAAATCCTCCAATTTTTCCACATTTTTATAGCTACAAGTCTTCCCAATGTGAACGCTGACCTTTTTAACAGCCTCAAAATTGACTGGGAGCGGTGTACAACCACGTTAGGAAACATATTCTTGCTGGTGACCCGTCCTGCTGCTGAGCCTGGCTGATAAGGACTCAGCATCTCCTCGTGCTGCTGCAGGCTGAGGGTGACATGTGGCAACACATCCCCTCTGACCCAGGCAGCAGATGGCTGGTGGGAGAATGATATATGGACTGCAGGAGTCACTCACACAATAATCTATAAGAAGGATGCAGCGAGCAGAAGGAGTGACGCATAGATGGAATACATGATAGTCTTTCACTTATCATCTATATATATGTGTGCTGTACAGATCTTAGCATGTAGAGTCAAACAATACAGGAGGCGTGAATGCAGAAACCCCTCCAGCTCAAATAAACCTGAGTGAAGGGAGTCATCATCTGCACAGCTCTGAGCGAGCACTTGCAGATGCAGACAGATGGCTGCTGGGAAACCAGTGTCCCCGGTCTGTATGATATGACAACAGAGGACCAGAGTCTGCTCTGCCAGCTGCTGTGCTGTGCCCTGTGCTCTAACACTGATATTTTCACTCTTGACCAGTTTGTGGTAACTAGGTCAAACTAACTTTAGCAGTTAATTGGGTTGAAGCAACGCAAAAAAAAACTAGATGCAAAAAAAGGCAGGGCTGATAATAGACATATTTAATTTAGAAATTCAAGACAGATAAAGAAAGAAAAGGGAGTCCAGGAACGTTGGTTTGGAGATTTTATGAAGATTTATTCCAATATTTGTAACATGATTATTAAAATTCTTTCATCTTTTTAAACTTCCTTGTAGCTCTCATCACTCTTGCCACACTGGCACCTGGAACTGGCACCAGTGTCACCTCCGAATTTAGTGGCAGGAACAAGTCCAACAGTGAAAACACAAGCAGAGCTGATGATACTGTCTGCGCTATTACACTGTGTTTCATTCCTGCAGTGCAAACAGACTGCTGGGTGTCAAAAAGCATGTTTCCTTATATATGTACAAGGTATTTGAAGCAAACTTTTGAAATGTCACCCAAAAAAACACCCAAATTAGGCTTGTTAGCATTAATTGTTTTGAAGGGAATGAACTAGGCTGGTGGAACACTATGTTATACAATAAACAGAAAGATGAACAGCTGTTTGTTCCTAGATTAAAAAACAAAACAAAATGAAGAGGAATAAGGAAACAAACTTTTGGCCATCTCCAAGAGAAATTCTTCAGGAATTGATTCTAATAGATAAAGTTATTATTCTTTCATGTCAGCTCGTATTAATCATGTTTCATGCAGTCCAGAGACTCTACAAGAGGAAACATAAACAACTTATTCAAAAAACGCGTTTCCATCACCTATCATGAACGTTATCTTGTTTGTGCAAAACCACCTCAAGTGAGCATAAAAAATGTTTTTGTGAAATCGAGAATGTTTTTCTCTGAGTTTTCCATTAACCTTTTCTAATGCAATACTTCAAAATGTGCATCACAACACATTATGGAAACATGGCGAGTGTCTGAGAGACAGAGAGAAGAAAGCAAACATAAACTCAGACGAGACAGGCAGTGCTTCAGAGACAGAGAGAGTGATGCTGCCTGAAGTTCATTCAGAGTGTACACAAGAGCTGCATGTTCTTCTCTCAGTAATCAAACTGAAACAACAAACATTTATCTTCTCCTGACTCTGTCCTCGCCGTCAGAACTGCATCTGGAGCTGCTGCTGCTGCTGCTTCTTCTCTGGACACGACATGGATGGATCTCGGTCTGCGGGGCCCTTGGCAGCGAGCGGCCTCCCCGCCCCCCACCTCGGTGTACTCACACAGGCCTCTCAAGTGGCTTTAGCCCGCAGAGAGCTGAAACAGGCCAGCTCTAAATAAGCCCTCATGTCTCTGCTTGCTCTCTGTTTGGCACATGAAAGACATGCGGCTTTGTAAGGCATGGAGGCCATACCAAGCACATGGTAGACTAAACGACTTGGCCGGGTGCTGAGCAGCTCGGAGGCTGGGGAACCGAGTCGTCCATCAGCATGTGTGGGCATCTGCACATGCGATACATGAACTGATTTGGAAATCACAACAGCAGAGCAGCGAACTGCGAATGCGACACTCGGAATCAATGCTGTGTGGTTACTGCAGAGCTGAAGTGGCACAGTCGCTTCTGCCGTGCGGCATCTGATCAGCACAAATCCTGAGACATGCAGATTGATGTCAATGAGGGCACGATGGAACCTTAAAGAGGGCTTAGCTTGTTAGCTTGTTAGTAGTACGCAAACAAGCAATGTGCTGCGATAGAACTGATTCCCCTGCAGAGAAAATCCTCAGGCAGCTCCCTCTTGGATCTTAGAAATCTTATTTAGGTCTGAGCTTCTGAATTCTACAACACCAAGGCATTACGTGTTGATTGAACAGTGTTTAAAACGTCCATTCTACACCTAAAGATGACTTATCTAACCTCTAAAGATACTGTGCTTCAAAATGCACTATACCTGGTTATGCTGCCCAGTAATCAAATGCACATCCTGATTTGTACAGCTACAGTCTGCTTGGTTTAAATCTCCTCATAGATCTTTGCTATACTCACCCCCCTCCATTCATCCAATTTGGATGTTATCATATCGTTCATTAGACGTTATCGGCGCACATCTTTCCCAGACATATGGACAGATAGGAACCTCCTCCACCTGCTAGCAGGC